TGTCTTCTTGCAAGCATTCAAGTTTCCTGATGAAATGGTTCCTGTTGCATTTGCTGCTAGGTCGCTCCGTCAATATCTTTTTAAATACATGGTGATTTAGTATAACTTTGTGTTGTTTATTTTATTTATTTATTTTTATTTTTTATTAAGGGGCATGTTTCAGCTGCATTAATTTTAGGTGGTATTGATAATAGTGGTTCTCACTTATATTCCATTTACCCTCACGGTTCAATAGATAAATTACCTTATATATCTATGGGTTCAGGAAGTATGGCAGCTATTTCTGAACTTGAAAGTCGCTGGAACGAAAATCTAACTGTAAGCACAATTTTTTTTAGTSAATGACTTAATATATTAAATCTTATAAACTCTGAACTAGGAAGAAGAAGGCATRAAACTGGCATGCGATGCTATTTTAGGTGGTGTATTTAATGATCTTGGATCTGGAAGTAATGTGGATCTATGTGTTATCAAAAAAGATGGTACTCGTATGCTTAGGAATTACCTGACACCTAATAAGAAGCCAGATACGTAAGTTTTTTATTTTCYTATACTTTAAATTATTGTATACTGATAAGTTGTAAATCATATGTATATATTTTATCTTAGGGCTAAATATGTCTATCCCACTGGTTTGACTAAAGTGTTACACAAAAGTGAAATCAAATTCCAAATTGCTGATGAAACCATTATGGAAGTTGATTTTTGAATTTTCCTTCATATATGAATAATTATATATTCATACATTTTCTAATTTTTTGTATAATTGGTACTGGTAACATTTATTTATGTAAAATATTGTTCCAATAAATATATTTAAAATCAAATTTTTTTGAAAATTATAATTAATGAAATAATGAATATGTAAATGATGAATTTTTTGTATTGTGATTATTTAAAAAAAAAAAAATCTTTTATAATTGTGGTGATGAATAAATAAAATACAAATATTAAAATGGATACTAACAGTTCAAATATTATACATTAAAAATGTTTACAATTCTATTTGAAAAAAAAGATGAATTTTATTTACAAACATATACTTACACAAGACACAATATTTAAGGATATAAGTACACAACAAATAAAAAAAAAAATGTGTAAATTATACTGACAAATCTAAAGACAAACTAACAGTTAAAACAAGTAGCAATTATTAAACTGATTTGGGCGTATGGCATACAATTAATGGGTAATACCAGTAGATCAAATATCAGTAATTCAACATTTTTAAACATTGCCATAAGTATAACAGTTAGACGGGAATGAAACCTATCAATATTTGAAAATATTATCCATCTAGGACGAGATCAAAAAGTTAACCGACAAAACTAGAGCTGCACACCAATGCAGCTATTTAACAAATGATGAGACATTGGACACCTTAAATGCTTAAAATCTTACAAACTGCTCCTCAGTCTATGAAAAATAGCACCTTAATGGTGGTATAAACCTAAACATGTTCATATAAATAAGTACCATTGATAGAATATAATATAGGATATATAACAGAAAACCTGATAAATGAAATAACTTTTTATCATCAATATTTATTATAACAGAAAATAAAAATTTTTAAATTGAT